ATGGTTCACTTGTACATATTTCGTTTATTATTTTCAAACGATACTACGTTTTAGACAAGCTGTCAAACAAGTATGACCATGTAAATTCCGTGTGTCTCATATGACTAACGGATACTGAAGATATCTGTCAGTACTTAGAGGCTGAGTTTGATTGTACACGTATTTGCTCATCGGAACATGCCCTGGCTGGCGCATTAAAGGACACCACTGTGCAGTCAGAATAAGCGTCATACCTTCTATCTGGAAGTATAACACGCTTCTACTTGACCATATCCCACTGTCGATGGGTTTAACGCGAAGTCCCTGGACGAAAGTATTTTGATGCCTGAGTGTCCGCTGATGAATTCGTCAGTTAATGAAATGGTCTTTGGTTGTTTTTTATCTTATCACTCAGAGTGGAAACCTGTGCTAGACTGAACAGCGTCAGAGGCCGCACATCTTGGACAGAAAACCACCGCCAGCAATCCAAACAATGGAAAATTTGTTTAACAAAGCTTTTAGGAGCATAGGCCTAACATATCCTGTAGAATGGTTTGGATGCTACACGTGAGTTCAATGAAAAGGTTACCCCAACATGATAAACTGGGTCACCTCTGGACTCGCCATGGCATTCGCTTTAACACAGAGGTAAATCAGAATGCATCACATTCGTGTGTGAGGCTGGTGCACACAGCAGTTGTTTGGGTGTTGTTCTCGCACAGTGAACACGATTGATAGCACAAACAGAATCCTTAATGCATACTCACGTCCAATTTTAATTGCTCATCAACGCTTTATAACCGATTGTTATGTAGTTAATGCTTTAGTGTGTACCCAGTGTTCCTGTTTAGGTTACAGAATCCCCAACTGCACCCAGTTTGATTGAACCTATTTTGCTTTCCAAGCTCTGTAAATGAGAGAGTACACCCAAAACAGTGAACTTTTTGGGATCTACTCACTGAACTAGTGACATAAGCAGTCAGATTTCTAGCAAGATGCACCTCCTACCCCATCTAATAAGTAGATTTACACATCACAGACTGCCGCACGCTTGCATAAACGCTGCGTGCTATTCTTCCGTTGGCCCGCCGTTCACAGCCTCACACACGGGGAGACGCTCGGGTGAGGCGATTTTCTGCATGACCTCAATTGGCAGTGTTCTCAGCTAAGCAACCGCGGTGAGTCATGCTCAGTACGCACCCAAGTGGTTGCGATCGTTTCACGCTCTCCTGCGCCGAGGTACACGGGAGATAATCCATGCGACCGCACGCAGATTAGGGAATGGGCTGAACGGTTCACACACCCACATACACATGCGCACATGACCAATTGCAGAGTTAAAGAGCAACGCCGTCATGACCATTACACCAAGCGTTGGGTGGATTAGGTCGGTTAACTAGGCTCGTCGGCTTACGGTCCACCGCGTATTGAATCGGCACGCACTAGTGGGCAATTATTTCGGTCCCACAACGGCACTTGTGGACCTGGGCGCTTTGAGACGAATGGTCGGCGTTGATAAATGGCAAACCACATTTGTGCTCAGTATGGTTGAAGTGTCCTGAATACTCAGAAGTGGGAACAGAGCAGACGGGCGTAAAGATGTGACGGTAGAGTCGGAGAACGTTACTTCAGATGTCTGAGTTAGGTCGTAAAATGTTTTGGCCGAATAGTTCACTGACTGCAGGAGATTCTCGCATTTAATTATTCACCATTGTTGGCTAGGCTTGGTCTGGTCAATAAGCTTATGAAAACATGTCATGCAATAATGAGTCTGTCCTGTGAATCTAAACCAACTTGAGCCAGACAAGCTGAGCAATGTCATGATGGGAGGTATATCATAGTGCAGTTGCTGGTACCGCTTTAACCATGTATCCAAGCCCGTTAGTGTTCCTGGTTCTGACGCTTTGAACGAGAAAGTTACACATCCGGAAGTAAGCAACCGAACGTGTTCACAAGTGCTTTATATCGGTGTGCGAATGGAAAACAGCATAGAGAAAAAAGTGTACGCAATCAGCGTAGCATTACGCGAGACTTCACGTAGATTGAGGTAATCCAGTTATGAAATCGAAGCGGCAGAATTCCGTGTCAGAGCAAGATCGGTATCAAACAAAACCTCGGCTTGTGCACTGACGATGGATTAGCAAAAATTGCATAAGTAGCATCGAGTGTTGTTGCCTATGACTGCGGGCGTCGAAACGTCCTGTTTGCACGTGATTCATCTAATTATATGGCGAGCGTATTTTGCATGCTTTTGAGACATTCATGCACACACAGTAAACTCTGAATTGGTTTTATGATAGCTACAGATGGGGATTTTGGAATAACCACTTCGCTATACGCAATTTTCAGTATGATCATTAGCGGTGCGTAAGGTCGTAAGAATATCTCTAAAGACCAAATCTTAAGGTACAATGAGATGGAGGGATGAACAAATATGAGGATAAGCAAAATTCGGTTAAAAGGATGTGGCGCATGCTTTCATAACTGACCCATAAAACCCGCTAGCTACCACGATTTGGCAGACCGATCTTTCGCTAGTAAGCCCTAAACTCATCTCTGCTCAGTTCTACACATCCACTTGTTATCCGCTTCCCTAAACAAGCCGGCATTATTGATCTGCTCCAGATAACTGGTATGTGGCTACAAATAAGGAATGTCGCATTGCTAGTTTCAAACAAAACCATATTTCAAAACTCCCCAGCGAATTTTTAAGATAATATAGAACAGGAACATTTTCGACTGAGTTCATTTTACCCGGATAGTTAAATAGTTGTTGCAGTTACCACTTGAACTGATTTTGGTCAACAACGCCATAAACAAATGAACTGAGCGTTTAGATTGAGTAAGCATTTATAGATAAGTAGCCACCAGTGTGATGTGGCCGATCAGGACAAACGAGGGCACAGTTTGCTATTCGGTTTGCTGACAGAGAGCCCGAACATTATAGTCTATGGCTACTAGAGCACTATCGACTCTGTAGTTTCAGTCGCCAAGCTGAACGACGTTTTTTCTTAGGACGATTATCAGCGCCACGGAATACCGAGGTTACTTATTCAAACGTTTCTCCCCTTCCGTAAAGTGTTGGATTACTATGGGCATTTAAGTAACTTTGTTGATTTTGTCAACCAATTACACGCCTTAGCAACATAACAGTGGTTACACGAGTTTATTGTGGGACAGGTCAATGACTACCTTACAGGCTGGTTCCCATCAACCAGTGGCGTGCCTTAAGGAAACTGTACTTTGGCCAGTATTATCTCTTATTCATAGCAATGATCTACCGCAGCAGCTCCAGTCACCATATACTCTGATTGTAGATGAGTTGAAAATCTGCAGGATCATTGAGAACCAGGGCGACTGCGCTCATCTCCAGCATGACTTAGAGCGACTGTCAACGTTGTCCACTGAAATCCAACTCCCTCTTAACGCAAGCAAGTCGGTGTCTATCAGTATCATCAAACCTTCAACCACTCGATCATACACCTTGGACGGCCACTTGCTCCACTCCAACACATCTGTCAGATACTTAGGAGTTCTCTTGCGACTTCATATGAGATCAGTAGCAGATACAGAGAAAAGGTACCTTTCGAGACTTCGTATGCTCTGGGCATTAAGACGCAGTTTCACCATATGGTCCGAAGAAATCGCCCCTTGTCTATTCATCTCGTTTAATAGATTAATCCTTGCTTACGTTGCTCCAGCTTACCATGGGATAACCCAGTGGGAAACTGAGAAGCTGGAGAAAATACAGCACATAGAAACTAGAATGATACCGAGTATACGAAAGCTTCCGTATGAAAAACGTTGTGAAATACTCGGATTCTACGTACTGTCCTACCACTGAGTAAGAATTGATCTTATTATGACCCATCGAGTACTACAACTGAATTACTTCCCTATATTGCGCTCAATAATTCACCTGCAGGAGAGCAGTAACACACGAGGACACCGTAACAAAATCACGGTCCCCTTCATGAACAAAGAATCTCATCAGCTTTGTATCGAACGAAACATCATAAACTTACGGAATACACTACCAGAATGATTAATAAAGGCCGATTCTGTAAAGTGTGTTCAAACACGTAGCGACGATTATTTCGGAAGCCTGTGCATTTGTGAAAGGATGCACATGCATTTCCAAAAGAAGATATCGTATGCCCAGAAATACTGAAACCAACACAAATTCTTAACCGAACAAGGATCAACGATTACATGACCAGACAAAACCGCTGACGATTCACAACTAAATGTTTTTGATTTTTCGTAATTCGATAGAGTTGTACGGAAATCTTTCTACTGGCTTTAAATACAGCCTCAGTCTCAGATAATAGAAGAGTTCGCTTCAAATCCTTACGCACACAAACAGTACAAGGTTGTTAAGAAAGTAGCTTGCTCAGTTCACGGATGAATGGAAAGCAAATCCCGGCTCAAATTTTACTGATAAGCCATAGCTACGTCAAAATTTTGTGTAAAATTCGCCTCGAAACAGCTCGAGTGGTTTTTCCCAGAAAAAATTAATGAAGTCGACAGGAGTACCCCAGGTAGAAAGCTGTCAGAGAAGTGAATAACGAAGCGCAACTTTTCGTAACCATTGAAGTAGATACAATGTAAAAGCTTAGCTACTTGAGACATCCGGAACATGGGCAGGGGCGAATTTCCGAACGGTTTGGTGTGCAGTTCCATAAACATCCCATTTGTTGCTCATATTGCAGATTGTCGCGAATATAAAGGTGGAACACATAGAACATTTTCGCTACTGGGGTTTTGTACAAAATTGCTGATACTTCCTCGCCATAATTCACCTATAGTATACTGTGGCGAGATACCTCCGTAATTTATGTAACTTACACACCATGTCTGCAAGCCGTAATCGGCAAGTTGTTTAAGAAATATTAACCACACCGTAAGTGTTGTCTACATTTCCTTGTGAGCACAATCTGCGGTCTGCGCGGTGATCTTTCCCAGATACTATCAAAACTCCCTAGATAAGAAAAGTACTGGGCTGTGACGACAAATCTTGTCTTTTTCGGCGAAGATTTATTGACTTACAAATGTCCCACTATGTTTTGTATTGCTGAGAATCGCTGTAAACAGGTTTATGACCCACGAGAACATCTGGAACCTGAAACGGGTCAACTGAAAAACCAGTTTAAGGGAAAAACCATAAGCAACAGGATTTGAAATTACATGCTAAATTGTGTGAATTGTTTACATGGAGAAAACTTTGATCGGTGAGCTCCCAGTTACTAGCTGGTTGCTGTTCGTTGTTCCTTTTAGTTCTGCTTTTGGAGCCCGTAATCGACCATCTGGCTGGACAATACAATGAATTGCGGCACAGTAGCTGAGGTGTTCCCCACCTCTAGCTAACGTGTATGAAGATGATGATGATGACGATGATGATGATGATGATGATGATGATGCTGATGATGATGATGATGATGATGATGATGATGATGATGATGATGATGATGATGATGATGATGATGATGATGATGATCTGGCTGGACACGTTTCTTTTCGGCTTTTCTAGCCACAATGCTCACTAACCATCGACCATTGGCTAACTTGACGGAACTTAACTTCTTAGAGACTAACTGCATCACTGTGACACAGCATCTCCATTCTGTAACTGATCCAACGCCCAAGTGCTTGTGCCTGCTAGTTTTGCCGATACGAAGGCTTGGATACTCCCTGTTGAGTTAGTGCTAAGATCGCAAGATCACAAAATTCTGAACCAGTAATACTGTTAGGTGGACCGCGCTTACAAAGTTCGTAATCTTCTTCCGGTTGTCCGCGAAATCGACTCACTTAGATGACAGCACTTCAAGGTAGAAAGCTGTAGAAACCGTTCTCATAATCCAGGAAAAACTACACGTCAGTGAATACCGTAAGAAAAGATAAAAAATTTCCAGCAGAACTGGGACAAAAATGGTGACATTTTGGATTCACTGGAGAAGTCATCGCTGTTTCAGCACATAAGAGAACGTATGAACCAGACGACACTGCTGCTATTGTCTTATCCGTCTCTGAAAATGACAATGATTCGGAGTGTTAAAAAATAAAAATAGTCCATTCGTAACTAAAAAGCGAAATTTACCGTATGAGAAGCATTCGTGCTTGTCAGCATAACTCACCACAACATACTGTTCATTCTCATACAGGAGAAATAACTTGGGGTGAATATTTTGCAACCATCGACCTCGCCCAAATGTTTCAAGCCACTTGGTATCTGAACGAATTGTACCTGACAAAAGTTAATGCCGAATTGAAGATAGACAAACGGATCACTAAGCGCAGTTTGAATGCGGTTATACAACTGACTTCAATTGTTATCATATTACCCGACGGTTCACCAGTGTGTACATAGTTAGGTCGACAATCACGTAGGGAAACACTAGCAGAAATTGAAGCAAAAAATCTACTTTAGTTTCTTAGACGGCTCGAAAACACGAATAGCAGTGTCTAATGAATTGCTCCCTGAAACCGAGGACAAGGTTGCTCATCCAGCAAAGTGGTTATGTGGCAACCAGAAAGCCTAGTTTTGTTTGACTCTGAGTCTATCTAACTTCCAGATGCCAGTTGCACACTAAACAATGCATCGCATTTCTGATGATGTTGCAACCTGCAGTTCATAAGGTACCGTTTCTGAGCATACAAAACTTCCGGCCGTGAAACTTATTCGACAAATGGCAAACGCAAAGGACGAGTTCAGCGGCGGCTGTTCTTAGAGGTATCTGGTTGCGATGGAAATCTATGTCCCTGTCAGATTAGCCTTTGTCAATTTGATGAGACCTTACTTTTTGAACCATAGGTTCTTAGAATATCTACCTGCCGTCTCGAGTTTTAGCGAATGATGTAGGACAAATTCGAATGTTTCTTAACCGGCTGAGTGGCAAACTAACGGTATCCCGTCACACTTGTCCAACCACTCCGATGGCACGAGACTCATACCATGAAACATTCACATGGTTGAAATGGTCCAATTGGAGGAGAGCCATCAACTGTACTCCTGATTGGTCGGTCGCATGCAGTCAAATAATGTGCACCATGCTTATTGGATTAGGGGATGGAGCTTAAGCATGGGGCGCCGTAGCATGTGGGAAGGCACTGAGCTGATTGAGAAGTGAAGTGTGTCGTTTCCTCTGCGGCTTCCTTAGTTGCTTCATCGGCAAACAACGGATGTACATCCAGGATTCATGTTGTCTCGTTTTCCGACATTCCATTTTCAACTAAGTTGTACTCTTTGAGAAGCTTGTTGGTGAGTTTTAAACGTTGCGCTCTGATAAACATAGTTATACAGTCCGGTTTGAAGCATTTCCGGCTGTGAGTGGTAATTATCCATAACTACATAAACATTCAGAGAATATAGGGCATTAATACTAGCTAACCTATTCTGTAGTCGTTGATAAAGGCTCCTTTTTGGTTTCTCATACGGTCGTTTACTCACTTCCAATTAAACAATAGTCTACTTGCTCCGTCGGTGCCGCGAGTGCTACGACGATCCGTCCCAACCACGGATTGCCTGCTGGGAACAGCCTCCCCAATTGTAACACCGCCAGCTTGTTTAAACCATTTGTCTCTCAGGTTGTTACTGGGGTAGGTAACCCTTTCCACTTGTCCAGGTTTTATTTTTGTGTATATGGAATATCACAGATACATGGTTACTCATTATTATAGCTACCTTGGTGTTCAGCTGATATAGTGGTTTCATTTTCATTTTCGTCGTGTTATTTGCTACACATGGAACTCCAAACACTGCATTGCTTTCTGACAAACTCAAGCGTAGACAACCATCCACCTCGAAAAACTTGTAGAATTTCCAACATGTGACCTGAACAAGATGACAAGAACAATATCTACGACACCACTAGCCATTGTGCCGTGGCACTGTAGTAGTTGTCTTAAAGAATTCATGTGAAGTAGATAACGATAGGCCGAGTTCGTGTTCTGTTAAGGCATAAATGAATGAAAACATTAAGCGGTAGTTGTTCAGTCTCTCTTCCGGGTGCATGGCTCATCTTGTCTAGTTCGTGGTTCGTTTTATGTCTGAAAGATGTGGTACGCATCATTCGTCACTGACAACTGATTTGTCGTTCCTTGTCAAGGGCGTGTGTTTGCATGCGATACATGACAGTTGGTTAATCTCTCTGTGGGATAACTGTGGTCATACGGCAAAGAAGAGAAGATAAACGAGGCTGTTTATCGGATAGAATGACTCATATTTTATGATGTATTAGTTCGCTCTTGCTATTGGCCAACGCCTTGAAAATGCTAGTCAACAGACTACCACTTACAAACTGTCATTGATAACACAGTTATCCAAATCCGTCCATAGATCTAATTAGATCGCATACATTAATCCCAGTGGTTTAAAAAGCCACCACGGCAACAAATATTTTATCCCAGTATTATAACTAGTCGTGTGCTAAAGAGCACAAGTGGAGAGGAAGTTAAACATGAGCTTGATCCCGACCATTCGGCTGCATTTGGTGTGTGTAACCCCCGAGATGTAACCCCCTGCTTTGGAAAGTTGTTGTTCGAAGACCAAGAGATACCTTTTGTCAGATAATTCAGTGCTGTATCATATAAACAAACCTACATCATTTGGAGGCAGTTACCTTCAGTACAATCTAGACAATTTCGAATCACGCCGATTACTTATTTATAGCGTTTTAAACATTGCTCCCGATTACCTACTAATATGATCAATGTTGAGGCAAGTTAAACCTTGGTCACCCAAACTTCAAGTGTCCAGCCATTGTCACGTCATAATATTTTAAAGCTTTTGCCCTGAGCTGTCAAGAGAGAATCTAGTAATCCGAAATATTCGGTCGACTTTCAGAGAACGCGTTCCTACTGAAGACCACGCATCTGGCAACTCGACCATTGCTACAGTATCACGGGTTTGCAGTCAGCCGGTCGAATTTGATATCCTTTGCTCAGAGCCGTGACCCGAATCTCTCGCATGTGCACAGGGAAGAAGGACGGTTTTAAAACAGGTCGGATCGAACTGAAGCACTGAACAGTTGGTAGCAATTGAAACCCGAGAAAAGGATAGTGCCTGTCTCTGTGGGATATAGAGGATGCGGCTTGTTATCGCTTTTACCGAGTGCTCACTGAAGTCGTAACTGCGGATCCGTGTTTAAAAGTTAAACTAAGCGAACCTTGCCAATAAACAAGGTTCCCTGGGTTTCTTGCCTAACTGAAATATGCAGAATGGGCTAAATCTTTCCAAAGCTTCTTGACCTGTTTCAGTTTATCCCAAGATAATGCATGAATTGGCCGCCGAACTTAGTGAACCGCTTACATGCGTGTTTACATTATCGCCCGACAGCTGTGCCCCGTCTTCCGAATGGAAGGACGCAATCATCTGTCCGATCTTTAAAGACGGTGACAGTGCTCTGCCAGCGAACTATCGGCTTGTCAGTTTGACAAGGGTAGTAGTTAAGTTATTTGAAGAATTGGTGAGGAATATGGTGGAGAACCACCTGAATAAACTTAACGTTCTCAGTGCTGCCCAACATGATTTCCTTAAGGGATTTTTGTGTCTGACAAATTTACTTCTAGCTTGTGAAATTCGGGTTTAGCCAGTTGATAGCGGCCACGCTACTGACGTGCTTTTCGTCGACTACTCGAAAGCCGTTGATACTGTCCCACATCTACGACTGTCACTAAAGCTGAGATCTTATGAGAAATCTGGTGGCGCCCATAACTGGGTGACTACCTTTCTCACCATCATCATCATCATAGGAGTTAGGTAAAGGTGGGGAAAACCTCAGTCACTGTGCCCCAATATATAGAAAAAAGGAGAAAAATAATGCAACTGGTGCAAGCCGGCTGAGCTACCGGTAACGGATGGGCATCGTTCCGGTATGCTACCTGCCGGCTACTATGCAGCAGAAAAAAATAATTTCCTGTGCAAAACTATAAAAAGCCAAATAATGAGATCTTGGTTGGAGGAGGAGGCTAAGAGGGATGGGATGGCATAAAGAAACTCACAGCACGAACGCCACTTAGGTCGGCTCCTAGCCATATCAACAAGTGTATCCAGCCAAACGTGTTCATCATCTTTCGGACCCCAACCAGGGAGCCGAGACGCTCCGAGGCCAGCTTTGAAGTGAAGTCCTTCATTACTCTCGACGTAGCCATCGCTTCGCCACCTCACTCTTTCTTCCATCGACACCCCCGGTGCGCAAACAACGGGCTTTGCGGGAGTCGGTGGGCTTGAATGCGTAACACGTGGCCGAGCCATCGGAGCCTGGTGCGTGAAATAACGGTGCTGAGCTGTTCGTTTCCTTTTCTTGTGCCATAAACAAGGCGTCGAACACGTTCGTCGCTTACTCGGTGTTCACACTAGATGTGAGCTAAATTGCGAAGGCACCGTTGGTCGAACGTAAGACTGCCTTTCTAGAGGGGAGACAACAATATTTATGCATGGGGCGTAGCCATTCAATTGGAAAAGCTGTTCCTAGCGGCGTTCCACAGGGCTCGGTTTTCTGGCCGTTACTCTTCGCAGTGCATATCAATGACCTACCTCAGGAGTTTAGAGTGCCGTCGCGATTGTTATTTGATGACATCAAACTCTGGAATCTTACGGATATCCCTGGGGTTCTGTAGCAATTCAGTGCCTTGGATTGGTCAACCTTAATCTTGATGCCTGTAAACCAGGCAACATGTGCTCTCTTCCGCATTGGAGCTGCAAGTGGAAGTGAACTTTCTGTTGTCACTCAGCAGGTTGATCTAAGCGTCGTCTACATCACAATGCATTACTCAGGTGACAGTTGGAAGATGGCTGCTTGTAGATGGTTCCGCTCCTTCGGTGTTCTAACGGCCGATACTTTTGGAAGCACTTCTCAGCTTTTGTGCGACCCTATTTCAACTACTGCATCCAGGCTTGTGCGGCATATGGTTTAGGGGACAAAATTGAACTGGAAAGGGTTTTGCGAGTAGACATCTGGTTAGTGCAGCGTTTACGACGTCAGACGTTTCCCGAACATTTGCTTAGCTTGGGCATGTACTCATTGCGCTATCTGAGAAGTAAAGGAGACTAGATCGTCGCTTACCGTATCCTAACGATTAAGATCAGTCCAGATTTGTCTTGGCTATTTAGTCCCGCCAAACTGCCTAGTTGTCTGGGGTCCCCTTTGAAGCTGCATAAACTCCATTCTGATCGATTAAGGACGGAAACTCGCTTATCGCGCCGGCTTATCGAACATTGGAATTTGCTTCGGGATCACGTTGTTAGGGAATCTACAGTCGCGGGTTTCGAGCGTCAGGTAACTGCTCTTGGGTGGCGGTACCAAACCATCCCCTTCTCCTAACCGACATGTATCATCAGTTATCTGCTCTTTTTTCTACTTCTTCTTATACACTGGTCTCATCATTATGTAGCAGACATTCCTCCGCTTAGTTCCTTAGCTTATATCTCACTCATGCTTACTTCAATGGGGACGGCTGGGAAGGAAATTTGAACAGTAATTGGTGGACCAGAGTTTGAAGTGTTTTTGTTTTAGGCATTTCAACATCTTAAGGCGATCTAGCAACTCCCGATACGCAAAAAAAGAAACATTCACGGGCTTATTCTCTCATTCCGGTCCTAAATGAAGCTGAATTTGAACGTAAATTATCTCAGGTCTGAAAATTTCTCTGCAGTGCCCGCCACCCTGTGATATAACGGCTAACTTTGGTTCCTTTTGGACATATTTTGACTCAATTTCGGAAATATCCGTCAGCTCGCTTTTCGTTGCAATCACTGACTTATTTCTCATCAGAGGACAGATTGACAGCTTGAGAGTGTCTCATCAGAACAGGCTTGTTGATTTAATCGGTTATAATTTTGTTCAGATTTGATATATTTCATCGTAAGAGTTTCCAAACAACAAACCATTCTGCTCACCTGCTGGTACGGAGCTTGCAGCTAAACGAGGGAAACATTCATCGATACAATCCATGTTTACTATACATCCACTCGCTCGAAACGATCGTGTTCGGTTACGATATTGAGGAACGCATACTAAGTTATCAATCCATTTGTTCCATAAACACCTGGACCGAAACATTCTCAACGGTGCACTGTTTGTGTGAAAGGAGACACCGGTTGACTAGATCGGAATGTAACCACCACTACGAGTGTTCCGTTAACCGTTCTTATTGTTGTAGGCTAGCGTACAAAGTTTACGTCAAGGTGGCTATCACCCTGGTTACCCTGTCTCGGTTTAAACTTCAATCATTCCGATATTTTCCTCCAAAAGCCCTGGTAACAAAATCCGGCCTCTCCGCGTCTTAACGTACATTCAGTTAAGTGTAAATTATCCTGCAGACCCAGCGACAGAGACCAATTGTCAACTGCCCATCGAAGCTCCCGACTGGCACTTGAAGTTTCGCTCTCATACTCGCGTATACACAATTACTTGCGAGCGTCACAGGCAGCCGCGCAAAGAAGTGTCAGTTGAAGTGACACTTTCAAATGGGCTAATTTTGGTTTTGAAATCTTCTCGTAAACTTTGCTATTTGATGGATGGATAAGTCATCAATCGAGGTATCACCTTCTTCTCAGGCAGCAGCCATGGGTCCCCAACCAACCAACTGATGGGACTGCACGATACCGTCCCTCTAAGGGGTCGTAGCATACAGGGACACTGAAAATTGAATAAAGATGATGGCTGTCTCTAAGTAACTGCGGTCCTTTAATTGGAAAAGTTGAAATATAGTGAGGGGTTATATGCCTGAACTTGCATTCTGCGTAAGTATATCCATTTACTTGGTTATCGAGCAGCAGTGACTTCGGGATCAGATTGCAGCGGGTATAGTACCGACAGAATTTGCATACCCTTCTACAAGAAAAACAGCAGTTTCACCTAACGCTTACTAATGCATGCAGTTTTCCGGTTGCATGGAATTTGCTAGATCTGACTACTCAATGGGCTCATGAGATTTAATGTTTGAAGAAAAATTTGGTTGTGGTTGGAACTAGGGATAACAAACACCTCTCAGGTAAAGAAGGTTTTAGTTTATCTAGTTTCAAAATTCAGTGCTTGAGTAGTATAACATTGCCTTCAGGAACATTGATTCGTCTGATTGACCAGAATTCAAACTGTCTAAAGCTTGGCTTCTTTTGTATTATGCAAACAAACAGGCGTACAAGTCATCCAAGCAATTTAACATTGTGTCAATGTTTCATTATGAATATTTAAGTGAATTTTGCCTCTACCAAAGACGAAACGCCCCTCCCTACCTAGAATTAAACCAAGAAACAGCGATCGGGGTTCAAGGCGGTACGTTTAAGCAACAGCTGTCAACCAGTTTCCATATGCGTTCCGCTGTTGAGAAATACAATTTATGCTGCACATCCCTTACGGTTTGAGCAGTTCCCAATTTCATTAAATGGACCAACCGGGCGAATCTCGTGTAAAATTTCTCACCATCACAGGGGGCCATTAGGCCACCCATCCGCAAACAGCAAGGCTGTAGATGAAAGACACTATGACAAAAGCAATTGTGTGTTGACAGTTGAGATGACACAGAGACGTCTTATCCATCTGCTCGCCCAAAAGCATCAAGTGGTCTATGAAACACACATTCATGCTTCGGATGATTAAACAGAATGGAGAAATCTCATCTTTGGGATTAATATCACTAATCTCAAAATATGTCCGTCTGTGCTGTTGTATCATTGGGGACAGGGTATATGTTTGAAGAATTCCGTCAAATATATTGTGGTTGCAAAACACCGAAGAAATGCATATATGTAGGAGGGTATACTTTGGTCACGCTTTTAATATATTGCAACTGAATCTCAAGCAAATACGTAACAGTTCGTCGGAAACAAGCTCCAGTCATCAAAGAGCTATGGTTAGTTGGTTAGTGTCTATATTGTCAGTAGCTCAAAGGAAGGGTTGATGCGTACCCTACATGCATGAATTGCAAAACCAGAATCCTTGTATGGGAATAAAGAGTGCATGCGATGGTACTAGTGGGGCCGCTTCGCTACCACACTCTAAAGATGCGGGTACTAAGAGCGTCCCACTATCGCCAAACTGAAGTTGAACTTGAAACTCTACGAAGCCCCGCCGTCCGGTGATAACTATTCTGATGTTATCGGCGAACAAAGCACTGAGGTATTTGTTCAGCCCGTGTGATAATTTCATGCCTCAGTCAATGAAATGTGTGAGAGAAATAAATCAATTTGGCGCGTGATGGATTCTCGCTGATTGGTATACGCACCGGACAGCACAGTCAGTGATGAACAGCTGCCATGTTTAATGCATGGTAGTGCTCAAGTGATGACTGTGCATTTAAATGATCAGATATTGGGCACTAAGTCCGAAGTGCGTTGTAGTCCGTGGCTGTGCATCTGGACTGAATATGCTGCAATGGTCGGCACTCCATCACTCAGAAGGCGACAGCATCTATCCAATACGGGGAATGACTTCCAACCATTATTCACTAATGGTAATACTCAACACAGAAAATCTAAAATATGTTACACGGAATGCGTTTTTGATGATCGGGAACAGTACATGCGTCGTGACTCACGACATCCGTGCCAAGTATCAGGATAAGTTTTTTCATCTACCAGTGA